GTACCTTTTCAAAGAATGCCACATATTTTACGTAATTGTCTACATTTCACTAGATGAATATCTTAAACATTGTTACTCTATTTGTATGCTACAACTTTTGTCAAGTAATTGCTAGTGCATACATGTATAACTAATGGACTATGTACTTAAATTTTATATGTGTAATCCTATAAATAAAGAAAATGCTGTAATAATAGTTGGTGGTAGAATAATAATGTTCATGAAAAGATAAAATATAAAAAGTTATATTATAAAAATTGGTTTAAATGTAAAAACTTAGAGAACTAAGAAAAATATCAAAAGACCCGTAAGGAGTCTAAGAGAACAATCTGTGACGCTAAAAATTGTGCTTTTAGTTATCTTTATGATCGATTAGATACTAAGTAGTGTGAAAAATATATGTATAAACTAGATAAACAAAGAAAATAGAAAAGTAAAGATTTAACTCAAGTAAAGTGTATTAAAGATGAAAATTAAAAAGTGCTTTTCTTAGAAAAAGTTATTCAAAATAGTTAAGTGAGTTATTTTTTGATAAACTTTTTAATGAAGTTTCGGAAAATACAATCGACCTTAGTGATCTTAATATCATTAATAATAATAAAATGTTTCATTTTTATCGTCGCATTGTAAAAAAGTAGTTGAGGAGACTTTAAAGAAAATCAAGGGTGGAAAGTTTGTAGGACCTAATGATATCCCAATTGAAAATTAAGTTGACGTATCATACTTTAAAAATATGAGAGAGGATAATTGAACATTGATTAAGACATATTACAAAGATTTTTCATAATCAATTTGGATTTATGTCGGGCATGTTTACTATGCAAGCTATACATTTGTTGAAAGGTTTGATGGAGAAGTTCAAAGATAATAAGGAGGATGTACATATGATTTTTATTGATTTATAAAAAAGATAACGATAAGGTTAAAATAGATATCTTTTGGAGAGTTCTTGAGAAGAAAGGTATTGTATACAAAAGCTGTGACTTGTGCTCGAATAGGAGGATTGACTAAATATTTTCCTATTTTAGTTGGTTTACATTAGGGGTAGACTTTGAGCTTATATCTTTTTTTCTTTAGTTATGGATGGTTTTACTGGACATTTATCGGAGGATGTCCCTTGGTGTATGCTTTTTGCTGATGATATCCTTCTTGTGGATAAGATGAGACAAAAAGCTCAGGAAAAACTTGAATTATGGAGGTTTAAGGCTTTCGTTTGAATAGAACTAAAACTGAATACATGGAATGTAATTTTAGTAGTAGTAGCTCTAGTGATAGAAATGTAACTATGGGTGATCAATTTATTAAAATGTGTGAACGCTTTAGACGAACGCTTTAGATATCTCTGATCTAGTGATAGAAATGTAACTATTGGTGAATGCTTCGAGCCTATTATGTGATAGAAAAGTACCGCTTAGACTCAAAAGGAAAATTTTATAAGATGGTGGTGAGACCTGCAATACTCTATGACGCTGAATGTTGGCCTTTAAGAGAGAAGCATAAAACTGAGTTAAGTGTTGCCGAGATGAGAATGATTAGGTGGATGAGTGGTTTTACAATTAGTGACAAAATGACAAAATCTGAAATGAATATATCCTTGATAGGGTTGGTGTAGCTCCAATGAGGGAGAAAATTAGAGAAAGTCATCTTAGATGGTTTGGTCACATTAAATGTCGACAACCATATGATGATCCGATTAGAAGAGTGGATGTTTTAGATTCGACTTATGTTAGGAAAGGTAGAGGACCTCTCTGATGACTTGGCATATTGCATAAAAAAATGATCTTAATTTATTAGAATTAAATAAATATATGGCACTAAATAGGATGCAATGGAGAAAAAGAATTCATGTAGCCGACTCCACTTAGTGGGATAAATGTTTTGTTGTTGTTTTTGTTATTGTATGCTCTGTATTCCTGTCACATTCCACCTTTAAATTTTTTACACGCATATTTTTCTTTTGATATGTTCTTCTGTCATTCATTTGGTTTATCAACATCCAATTCAACACAACTTTTGTAATGTGAGTACTAACAATATCAGTAGGGCTGTGCGGCCAGTTAGGTCGTGGTCCTGAAAGACTGGTAGTGTAGAAGGGATAAATGTGTGAGGAGGGCAACATCACAACCAAGAATTCATCTTTCTATTTCTGATCGGATTGAAAATAACCTAGCAATTGGATTCTATAATTTTTGATAGAATATTTTGCAAAGATTCTTTTGTTTCTTTTATTGGGCATTTACATATACGGCACACGATTCTTATGTATTTATATATCTGGCGACGCCTGAGCTTTCATATTTATACACGTGTCACTCAAAATCTATAATATCACTAAAAACCAATACTATTGCCACTTTTTAAAAATGAAATACAGATTTTTCTTGCATAGGTTTAAGGCACCAAAGTGCCATGTATGTAAATATGAAAGTTTAGATGTGACATGCAAATGTGTACGAACTGTGTGCTACATATGTAAGTTTCCCTTCTTTTGTTGAATCAGTAAACCTTAAAAAAGGAACAACTGTCACGCTCCAGATCTCGAGAGAAATGTTTAGAGTTCCAACATTGTTGATGACTGCATGGATAAGCCTATTTATGACTGCTGTTAAGTATCATCACTGCTGACCTCTTCATGCGGATTACATTGCCTGCCTCATTCCCCTCTTCTCAGAAAACAATTGAAATAGAGAAATTTAGAAATCAGAAAAACTTGACTTCCAGTGGAGTTGGTTTGCTTGATCGAAATCAATTTTTTCTTTGGCCAGAGAGTTATTTTGTAATTTTTATTGACGTACTAAAATTTATATGAGCTTAAATGGCATTATTGATTGTTCTTTTTCAGCCCTTAAATAAATGGGTTCTTTAACTGCGGCATGTAGAGGGCTTAAAACCCATCTTTATTAATTTTTCAAAGCCTGCCTTGATGTGCTAGCTTAGTGACTCGATGAACTATTTAGCACTTTCACTAATTTACACCCATGTAAATCTGCAACATTGTTAAATTAAGAAATCTTGAATTAGGCTGGCTGACAATTTAATTGGCTGATGAAGTGTTTTAAGCCCGATTTTTCAAATCATGATGATTGCCTGTAAGCTATATGTTTATCAATACAATTCTGTTATCAGAGGTGAGCTTATTTGTTGTTTTTTATTTAAATCATGGACTTTGAATTTCGCTTTCATTCAAAAACCTTGGATTAGAAACGCCTGACTATGAAATCATGCGCCTTTGGTAGAATACTTTTTCAAAAGGCGCTCCTTAACTTACAGGAATGGTAAATGAATATGCTAAAATATAAACATTTATTTAAGATGCTATATTAACCTTTTTATTATTGGTTTTACTATACGTGGCAAATAAATTTTTAGATATTAACAATGTTAGTTGCACATAATAGGTTCAACGTCTCTAGGAACAAATGGTAAACAATAATTTATTAATTTGGACAAAAATAAATTGGAATAATGCCAACAATGATGATGATAATGGTTGTGTTAGGATTGTTATATAATATTGATAACTTGATTTTTGAGTGAAAACATTTTGAGTGCAGTTTTCAATGGTCATAACAAATAATTGTTATTTTTTAACCATTTAAATTGGGGTTTGGGTATCCCGCAGGTTGGCTCCTTACATTGGTCAACATTTTTCATCCATTTTAATGAACTAGGGATAACAATTATTAATATTTAGTTCTTTGGGTAATTGCACGAAAATATTTTTACTTTCTGCGACATATTTATTATCCTTTTGAATTCATACCACTCTTTTTAAAATCTATAATCTTCCCTTTAGGATATTATCTAGTAGTTTTTCTTCATCTGGTGATTGATACTCATTTTATGGGAAATTTTTGTGGCTACATCTTCTTCACATAATTGTGGTTGATGTGCATCTCTTTCCTGCTTTGTAAAGGACATTGTGCATTCCTTTTTAAAGCTCTTCTGAAATTCTATAACCGTCTATCAAAGCGTGGGATGCACCTTTTAGCACGTTTGCACTTTCACATTTATGGACGCTACTGGCTTGAAGTGAAAATATATTTCCCCATGGTTAGCATAAATCAGTATACAGATAACTAAAACATTTTGTTCAAGGCTAGGACCATGGCATTGTTATGAGAAATTTTTAAATACTAATGTTTCTGAAACATTCGGGATAGATGCTTTGTTATGTGGAACTAGTGTAAATGGGTTTAATTAACATTGATTGCATTTTAACTTAATTTCTTGAAAATTGATTTCATCTGCAGTTGGAGTTCTGAATTTTGCCATAATATGAATGAAGAAGTCAGTCTACTAAATGAACGGTGCCACTTTATTGTAAATAATGCTGTTCTATAGGACTTCTACAAATTTTTTACAAAATGGCTGTCAACTAGGTTTTTTTCTTTTTACTTTTTATTGTTTTATTGGTGCAATAACATTGTGCAGCTATTCTTTTGAATATCTAGGAACAAGAAATGCATAATCTTATTTTAGAAAAAACTACTGCAATAAATCTATATGAAGCATTTTCCTCGAAGGAAACCATATTTTATTTTATTTTTTGGCTGGTGAGATACTGGTGCTGCTTTATATGGGTATGCAAGCAGTTTCCCCGGACATAAGATTTCTTTTTGCGGTAACACTGAAATATCAGGATGTGTTTTGGGAGCAATATCAAAGCATGTATCAAGGAATGCCACAAAGTAAAACATTGCACCACAATGGAATTCTTGCTAAATTATTTCACATGTTCTGCTGACTAGTTACCATTGTTTATTGCCAATTTGTTGGTTTATTTTGTAGCTACGGCAGAATAAAAGTTTGTCAGAATGTCTTGGATGCGGATATAGTTTACATATTTTAATCTGATTATAATGGAAATTATCGAGATAAGCATATTTCTATGTTGAGATACTGATTGTTGTTTCAGAAGTATTTTGCAATTTTTTGGCGCGATTTGCGGAGGTTTCTTAGGCTGTGTTTGACATAGCTGCAACTTCTCAACTTTTCAGCTGCAATTGTGCTGCTCGAGTAAGCTGCTGTGGGGAAGCTGTTGTGGGAAAACTGGTTGACTGTTTGTTGCAGCTTTGTGAAAACAGCTGCGGGACAACTGTTTTTTTGGAAAATCGACCGTTCTGCCCCTGCTCAGTAAATTTGTTTGTACTAGAACTATGACACCCATTTCTTTAATAATTTTGAAAAAGAAATTCAAAATAATGATGAATTTATTAGAATTCATTATTAGCTTGAATGATATTCGAACGATAACGATGGTGGACAAGCAACAACAACCTAAAACTTTTTAGGTTTGACAAAACTCAACGGCCTTTAAAGACATGAAATTTTATTGTACCTCAGAACAATTTGAACAACTGAGATCAAATAGTTAAGATCTCAGAGCAATTGACCACTTCAACATCAAAACATAGATTTGGCGGATATATTCATAACAAAAGCAAAACAAAAGCAAAGGATGCTTCAGAAAATCTACTTATGCTAATATTTCGAGTCACAACCCATTGAAAACAAGAAATGGTGATCTCACAAATCAAAAAATTAGAAAATTCAAGGCCAAGCAAGCTTCATTCTTCATGGAAAACCTCCCTCAGCCTACTAGCTAATGAGCGGAAGGTCATACCTCAGATGATTGTTTCATTCGCTCCAAACAAAAGAATTGCACTTCTAAAATCATGGAAAACAATCCAATGATTGCCAAAGGTGACCCATTTTGCATCCAAGAAGCAATTCGCGTTAAAAATGTATTGGAATGGATACTGAACGGCATTTCATATGTTCAATTGCTGTTGCAGCTTTTACGTTTAACACCCCAATCGTGAACCGAAGGAGAAAGAGAGTGGCAAAGAGAAGAAGCAGATGCTTTCTCTTATTTTCGTTTTTTCTTTCGACTCGGTTATAGGGCGGAAATGGAACGAGTAGAGTTCTTGAGCTTTCATCCGACGTTTGCTCCCCTTAGATCGGGAGACGAGGCCTCATCCCCTGAAGAAATCTTCCTGCTCGCACTCGTCACCTGAAGCAAGCCACTCCGCTCGTCCTTATCTCCCTTTGCCGCACCGACCTGCTCGCACTCGTCACCTGCTCGCCTGTGGCCTTTCCTTGGCGAAATGTTTTCGGTTAGGGTAATGGCGTAAAAACCCGAATAAGGAAGCCGGGCCGCATGTTGATGTTCGTGTTCGGCTTACGGGAGAAATCGCGGCCCGCTGCAAGGGCACCGCCGCCCTAAAAGATAAATTTCAGCGGCACTGCGCAGCCTTGCCGCTGCGCCAAACGCAGCCAGTGGCTGCGTTTGAATTGTTATATCATGCTGTGAATTAGATTATTAAAACTATTGTGGGTGAAAATCTAAATGTTCTGACGATAAATTGATATTTTTCAACTATTCAGCAGATCCTACTGAACGAGGGAGAAAAGTTCGCAGTTATTTGTTTTTATGTGAAATTACTAGAACATATTTCTTGCTTTATGACATATTTAATGCTTCTAAGTTAATCCATTTCTTTTTAACACCTATTTTCCTGTCTGTAGAGCATTATATGCGATATTTTTTTTTAATTTACTGTGCTCAACAACATTTATAGGAGATGACTCTGGAAGAATATGAGAAAGTAAGGGAGGAGAAAAGGAAAGCCTTGCTTACTCTTAAGGTTGAAGAAAGAAAAGTTGAGGTTGACAAGGACTTACAGTCGATGCAGCAGCTCTCTATCAAGAAAGCAAACAATGACGTTTTTATCAAACTGGTAAAACTCTGCTGATGTCAAGAGGATTCTTTAGTTTTCTATTCTGTTCATCATTTTTCTTTGAAACATGCAAAATGATGTTTCAGGGTTCTGACAAAGAGTCCAAGAAAAGAGACAATACTGAAAAAGAGGAACGAAACAAGAAGGTATGGATTAACCAAATGCATTACTATTCATGTAATAACTTTGTTTAGGGTGTGGCTTTTTCACTTCAATTGTTGGAAACCACTACAGTCTTGCTGCATTTTAGAAATTTTTGTAGGGAAGTTCTATTTGTAAAAAATAATAATCTGTGATACAGAATAGTTTCAGCTCTATAATGAGTGGAAAAATCAAAACCTTAATAGAGAGGTGACTAAATCAAAAAATAAGGGGTAGCAAATATTTAAGTTTAAAATCAAATGCTTAAATTTTCTTTAAAATTATTATAAATATTATTATTAAATTTATATGTAATTAATATTAAATTATTAATAAGTATTTAGTTTAGAATCTACAAAATTCTCAATTGATTATATGATTGATTTAGGAATTGATTGCATTAATTGAGAAGAATTTAGGGGGTTGAAGGTAAATCAAATCAAGATCTCATTGATGTGTTGTTTCGGGTATACTGACATTCTCGGCCTACCAACATTAAACGGCCAAAGTTCATAATTAACGTCGAGGGAATTAGATTAGTAGCCATGAGTTGCCTCATCCTCAAGGATCCCTAGTAAGTCAAGAAGAATATGTATATCTAGAAAATGAAATGGATCTAATAGTGCCATCACTGACCGAAGCACTTGGACGACGAGCCATAAATCTCTAATATGTTGATAATTTCTACAAAAATATTTTACATGATTGTCATCGAAATAAGAGATGTTTTGCTATTTGGTTATATATAATTAGAGGCATATATTTGCATTTTCACTTTAAATTATTTATTTACTATTTTTTAAAAGTGATATAAATTATTGAATTCTATAATAATTATTAGAAGAAATTGTGCAACTTGACCCATCCATGGTGCCATCAACAAGATGAGATATTCAGTGATATTATTATTATTATTATTATTATTATGTATTTTTGTATATCTTTAAAGTATATTTTTCTACAAATTTGAAATTTTTAGAATTATGTATGTGATCATGGGGGTTTTTATTGATCTAACATTATTATTATTGTGTATGACGCATTTACATATATCCCACTCAATTCCTATCTATTTACTCATCTAACTCCGAAGCTTTATTTTTAATATTTACAGCACTGAAATCTTTCTCTTCATGTTAATATACTTATTTTAATTTTTAAAAATTATAGCGCTTCTCATGCATGGTAATGTGGTATATTTGCAAAAATTGAAATTTAGGTGTTAGGCTAGTGTACATAAGAATTGAGTGGGAGCTCATATTATGTTAGGACTCTGAACATAGAGGTGCGTTTTTATTTCAATAGTCGTTGTGTTATAAGAATATTTTAT